CACATGGTATTCCATAGTATTCTAGAGAAAGCTCCTTTTACGCCATATACTGAAATGGTTGATGCTCTGGGGTCTGCGACCTCGTAAGACTCTATGCTATACCGCGCCCTTTTGTGATCTGGTCTCTGTTTGGTGCCTCACGAGGTTCCTCTTCCGATGTTGAAGATCACCTTCCATAACCACCTTCCATGGGCCTTATTTAGGACACGTTTGTATTCTGTTCTCCACTTCAAAAACTTTAGCTATGGCTGAACCTTCATTTTTCGCCAGAACACTGCGCAGTGTATTGAAGGCAAAGCCAGCGATCATTCGCCATCACAGATAGTGGACAAGGGTATGCAAGGTCCTGAATAACTCGATAATCAAGAAAAAAGCAGGGAAAAACATGCCATCTACCCTAGATAGAACTCCATTTCGATCCCAATTCGTACCTTCCCAATTAACTCCATCTCTGACACTACGCCCCCAACCGCGCAACAGATTCCACGGTTAGGTTAAATTCGTTAGTATTGCTATGCCTCTCGAGGTTTTTAGGTGGAATCTTTATTCAACGGCCTAACGTTTCGACAGGGTCGTCTTCTTCAGAGGCCAGAACTCCACCGTGAATCCGCCGTCACATGCGGATGTTAGTCAGTAGCGACCCCCCTTAAGCACCAACATAAATAAAGTTCAAAAACTTTTCGCCTTCATGAAATAGAAAATACTTTGCGAATAAGTAATGTCGCCCATTTGCGAGCACAGATGAGTAAAGGAGATTTCGGTACCTGGTCGCATATTACGCTGTGACCGGAGAAATTACAACAACTGCTTAACTTTTATTCTGCTCTTCTGTACTTCTGCAAGCAGTCACTGTACACCACGGAAGCAGCCTAAGCTCGGAAGCATTTCTCTTCTGCCTTGACTTTCAATGACAGGCTTGCGTTTCATAGAATGTTGTCAACAGATTAGTTTTTGACGAAGAGTATACTGCAAAGTACTTTAAAATTTATTCGAAGATAGAGTCCGCGATTACTCGACGTGTAGAAGCTCTTCATTGAAG